CACAGAAGCCCCACCTATCTTATCACCTTCTCTTTCTCAGGTTTGCCCCACAGAAGCCCCACCTATCTTATAACCTTCTCTCCCTCAGCTGCTCTCCAAACTCCCAGCCAGCAGACTGGATAAGTCATGTGATAGCCATGCCCACATCCAAGTTTTCAAGTTGGGAAAGGGAGTACAGCGTCTAACTCCTTAGCATAACCGAGCGTGTTAATAATAATATACGAAACACTAATGCTCTGATGATCCTTTCGAAAAACCCTTTGTTAATGAGCACATAGAAGCCAAGAAGAACATACATGCCAATTTTCAAGTTTGTAGGCTTTACAGTTCTGGAGAATTCATGATTCCTGCGTGAGTTTTTGTGTTTATATATGTAGATTGTCACATGCTAACTAGCTATTTACTTATTCAGATTTAAATGGCTAGGTACCTAAACATAGAAGTTATGGTTCTACTATTTATATGATTGAAACACATATAAATAGTAAATAATAGATAACAAAGATAAAAAATTATTTTCTAATGCAAGTATTAGAAGGCTGACAAATTAAGGCAAGGAATGATGCTGTCAACCTGAATTCTATTTTGGAATTTAGTTTAATATTATTGTTTCAAAACTGGATTTCCCCACATTTAACATCACATTTATAAGGCTATGAACATATACATATATAAATACTTACAATCTGCCACATTAAAACCAAAAACTTGGCATTTGAACTAAACAATGTATCTTTCAAGGTCATTGAAAGCTCCATGATGGAATACTGCTATGGAAATTCTCTATCCTATTTTTTAAAAAAACCTAAAATTGGGCTTTACTGGACATTTTTTGTTAGTCATAGTGAAATCCAATTACTATCTCTTCGTTTTCTATCTAAAGTATTATTTCTTCACGCAATAAATTCCAACATGAGATTTTCTTGTTTAAATTCTGAAAAATCTCTCGTGTTATTTCCTGTCTCAAAATCCAAAATATTATTTACGGTCAGGAGATGTTGACGTATGTAACTAAATGCAATGCCCCAAAGAGTTAAAGTAGATTCTGCCTCATTTCCCGAAGAGATTTAAAGCAAAGAAATCTCTGTCCTGTAAAGCTAATACTGAAGATATGAAATGCACCAAGACAGTGCTAACTGATGACAATCTAAATCCTGCAAGCACACCACCAATAAATCTTTGCAGCCACAGAATTCCTGCCCATGGATTGTATAAATTCACCCACTCATCCACCTCTCCTAGAAGTCTCAAGAGCATGTGAATACCAAATAAATAAATTTATTTCATAAGAAAAGAAAACTCTGTTTAGTTTATGTAAGACTATTTAATGCTGATTTTCTATTCAGTCAGTCAGTTTTGTTGTATTTAGTCATTAAACTTTTTCCAAACGCATCTCACTTCGAGGATGATTTATTAATAGCTTTCTTAAAAAGAAACAGCAAACACCATGCAAGGCACCTAAAATATTGATATAAGTCTGCCTAAATCTACAAACTATTATTTGTGGGAAATTATATACAGCACCTTCAGGCAATGATCAGTCAACTGAGCTGGTGACAAATATGTTTACAGTACATAAAGCTTCATTCGCCATTGCATCTGATAACAAGCGATTGTTGCTTCTAGGAAGGAAAAACAAAACTTTACTTGTTGAAGATAAATGAGAACAGATGTTGAGGAAAAACGGCAAGACGCTGCTGTTAAAAGTGATAGATTTAAAGTAATCCTAACCTAAACACAATTCCCAAATGCATCCGGTGTGAGTTTCTTACCTCTGCTTTAAAAATATAGGTCCTTAGATGCTCAAAATACAGAGAAAATGGGTGGGAGATTATCAGTGGTGGGAACAGAACTTGTATTTCGGAAAGCTTGCCTTTCAAAATGCCATTATGCAACTGAAGACTGGTTTACAGAGTCTATAAACTTCTAAATGAATATTATTTGATAAAATTGCTTTGGATTTCCTTTGAAATCAACACGCAAGACACTTATTACTGCAAAAAGATGCTGATTGGAAATAGCAGGAGGGACAGAAAAGGGACAGAAAAGATAGAATTCCTATGAGTTTACAACAACATGCTTTGAGACTATCTTTTTGAATACCAGCAGTACCCAGAATTGCCTAGGGCATGTTGCTAAGAAAACAAAAGGAATTCAGAAGCAAGTGTAGTTAGATGATTCACCTGCTCCCTTTACAAGGTGTTACACTGTTGGCTTAAACATACACGGCAATTTGTGGCCATTGAAAAATCCTTGCCCAGCATTTATGTATGAGGAACAATAGCTCCCTTGCTTTTATGAGGATTTCAACTGCTCCAAAAGAGCTCAGATCTTCTCAGAATTGGACTGGTGCATTTCATCATTATACCTTGCAACTGAAATAACATAATACCTCAGGTTGTTTGGCAGCAAAGCCATGCTGAAGGACGGAATAATATGGCCTCATTTATTTTTATTTTGCTTTTCAACTGAAAGGATTTTGTAAAATGTATTACATCATCATTTCTATGTTCATTTATCTTTTCAGGCTTACAATTTAAAAGACTCTAATAGAAGAGAAATATATGCAACTCAGGTTTGAATTGTGAGTTTTGGGTTTTTTTTTAACTTGTTTGTTTCCTTACAGAAATTTCATTTGGGGGAGTGCTACGGCGATGCCCTGTTATTGCCATAGTCTGTTAGTTGTTTCTAAGATTTTTTTTGACATAGAATAGTGTTACAGTTTTCTTAGCTTCTGTTGGTGGTGTTATAGCTGTTGAGTGGCCAGCTACTTTTGGATATAGTTGTGTGGGTATCCAATCTGCTGGATCAGAACAGGAACAAAACATAAACAAATGTCAGAAGCAGACAGTATTTATATCAAACAATATTTTCCTTAAAAACTCACTTCAAAGCCAGATTTTCCCATATTTAGTTCCAGTCAGGAAGGGTATGATGTTGCACAGAGGAAAAGTTATTTTCTTCTAACAACTTCCTTCTCATTATGGAAAGCTATCAATTTCCTTAAAACCTGGTTGTATGTGTGTGCCTTTGTATATGTGTGTATATGTGCATGAATGTGTGTATATATACACACATTCATAAACATATCCAAATACATATTCCTTTTCCATGTAAACATGATTAACATTTATTTCAAGCTGTAATAAGCAAAGGTTAAATTGAGCTTTAAGCTTAAATCAATTCATTAATAAAAAAAACTGTCTATGGGTAGAACTGAAAGTTGCTTGCTGGTACCTGAAACTCAATTCAGCTTTTATGAAAATGATTTGCCTTACATAGGAAGGAGAAGAATACCTGTTGTCTGTCTGACTATAAATAGGATTGTGTGAAAACTATAAGCTGTCAAGACAAATTTTTTGGCTCTGGTTTTTATAAAGTTGTAAACCAATTATCTTTCTACAGCTACAGAAATTACTTGTTCCAAAGAACTAAACTTTCCAAATGGAAAAATTATTTAAGGCAGTTATTTATCTACTATCTTTTATGCAATGATAATTACTAAAGGTTCAGTATGCCTCTGATGGTTGCTTAGCGAACAAATAATTTTCTTACCATATTAATAAAATTCACAGAATTTATAATTTGGAGACTAGATTAGATTTGAATTTAACTTGGTCTAGCAAAGCTTTTCTTACGATAATAAGCTTAACAGAAACAGAAACACTTCTGTTCTTCAAGCACTGACGTTGTAGAGATACCAGTACAAACTGTTTCTTTGGACAATGCATCCAAATGCAGTTAACCGACTTCCTGAATGCTTTTTAAGATTTAGCAAATGCATATTTGGAATATTCAATAAGCAGCATGTGCAATATGCACTGCTTTAGTGATAAGAATAACAGCCTTGTTGTTCATTTTATAGCATTATTCAGCAAAATGTAAGCACTTTTAGTGCATATGTATTTAATCAAATTAAATGCAAACCTATGTTTTTAAAATAACCAGTCTTTAGTATCAGTGAGCTTTCTTATTCTTAAATTTGTTATTTTGTACAATTTTTTGTAAACTCCGCAGGAAAGACAAATAGGATTGTTTGGTTATATTGCTTGGTATAAATGTTTTATGATTTTTTTAAAAAGAAATATCAGAAAGCCTTAATGGGATAGTTAATATTATTGCTAGTATAAAAGGGCTAATAAGAAATCATTTTGTGCAAACTCTGCAAACTGACACTGTCTGGGAAACTCCAATGAATTCCAAATTTTAATAAAACAGCCCTATTGACTATTGGAAAGACCTTCAAGGATTGTTTCTGAAAGATGGATTAGGGTGCTTTAAAATGTTATTTGTTCTATCAAGAATTTGATTATAAAAATTATTTTGAATAAGCATACTTATTCAAAATTATTGAGTAAGCATAAGTTAGACAGCTATGGGAATGAAGTGCCAAGTTCAGAAAAAAAAGAGCCTCAGTAAATTCTCCCTATATGAAACTAAATTTTATGCCCTTTTTCTGATTGTCCTATGGCCTGCCAGATCTTCCTTAAAGTTGTGGACTACATTTAATGCTTAAAAGGGACAAAACAGGGATCAATCAATTCATGTAATAATTTAATATATTTAATTTCAATTTTACAATTAAATTAAATACTTATATTTTTCCCAGTTCCACCCTTGTCCGCAATGCAATCCCAACATGCCACCTGAAGGTCAATTTTGACTTTTGGTTCAAAAAAACCTGGATACTCCTGCAGAAAAATTGTTTAGGATGTTCAGATTCATTTCAATAATGGCCCCTCTCTTCATTATCAGGTATATTTAAATCTACCTTCTCAGAGTGAAAAACATAAATTCATTAATGCAAAAAATAAACATAAACCCAACATTCTCTAGGAATAAAGCAACAAAAATAAAGGGTACCAAGCTAAACATTCAATAGGTAGGGAATCCAATACCTGTTAAATACTTCAATGAGAGATACTCTCAGTGCAATTCCATTTAACTGTGGATTCTGACTGCGTCTTGCCATGCTTCTATCATCAACATCTGAAGGATACTCAGAAGGAGAATAATATGGGACTCTGCAACGAACTGTGCCTGACTGCTTCCATGTATATAACTCTAAAAAAATTGAAGGAAGAAAGAATGAATAATAGATCAGTCATTCTAATAGAACAGTCAGAGTGTATATACATATGCATGCATTTGCATATTTGTTTAGTTATTTAAAGAGTGTATTTGTATAGCCTAGCAAAACATATTACAAAGGAACACAGTAGTATATAAAGATGACAAACACCCAGCTGCAAAATTGTGTCCTGAACCTTTCTGTTTAAAACCCAAGAACCCAAAATGCAAGGAGAAAAGCAAGCCTTTCCCCACATTTGCAAGTCTATTAGTGCATTCTCAGAAGCTACTGTTGGTAGTAGAACACTGTGCAGGATAAACATTTGCTCTGATCCAAGAAACTAATTGCTTTATTAAAAGCCTTGACAGCCTATCAATGTTTTGCCCATAATTTAATTATAATGATAGTATTAAATAGAACAAAATGCATGCATTAAATAGCTTTTAAATAATAGGTAGCATTCAATAGGCCAAAATGCTTAGCTTTTCTCCCTTGGTGTCTACATGTGCCTTTATATTTTTATCTGTGCTGAAGAAGAAAGCAGGTGGATAGAGTTCCCTGGCCACACAATTGTTTTCTGAAACTTTCAAATTACAATGAACATGATTTACAGAATAACAGAGGTGGAAGGGACCCTCAAGGTCTTCTAGAGTCCAACCCCTGTTCAAGTAGGAGATCCTGTAACAATGATGGCTAAACTTTTTGGCACCGAGCACACAAAGCGTGTACGCATTCATGCTACCCAAAATGCAGCGTGTGCGCTTCACACATGCCCCTTGCACCTGCACCTGCGTTCCTGCACATGCCGACAGACTATCTGGTGGAAGTCGCTCACGCATGCGCAGCAGAGCTGAGCTGGAGTGATGGTGCATGCCCACAGAGAGGGCTCTGTATGCCACCTGTGTCACGTGTGCCATAGGTTCGCCACCACTGCCCTATACCATTCTAGATAACAATAGCAATAACACTTAGACTTACAGTGCTCACAGTGCTTTACAGCTAATCAGTTTACAGAGTCAGTATATTGCCCACAACAACCTGGGTCCTCATTTTACCGACTTGGGAAGGATGGAAGACTAAATCAACCGTGAGCCAGTAAGACTCAAACTGTTGAAAGCTGGCAATCAGCAGAAGTAGCCTGCAATACTGCATTTTAATCATTGCACCACCATACTGTATCTCCTAAATGGCTGTCTATTCTCTTTTTAAAAACCTCAAGTGATGGAGCACCCATAATTTCTGGAGGTCAATCATTTCACTGATTAATTGTTCTCACTGACAAGTTCTCCTTAGTTCCAGGTTTGATGTCTTCTTGATAAGTTTCCATCTGTTACTTCTTATCTTGCCCTCAGGTGCTTTGGAGAATACATTGACACCCTCTTCTCTGTGACAGCCCCTCAAATATTGGAAAACCTCTATAATGTTGTCCGTAGTCCCTTCTATTTGTTAGACTAGGCATACCCACTTCCTGCATCATATGTTTTAGCATCTAGCCCCTAATCATCCTTGTTACTGTTCTTTGCACTCACTATCAACATCTTTTCTATATCGTGGCAACTAAAATTTGACAGAGTATTCCAAGTAAGGTCTTACCAAAGCAATATAAAGCAGTTCTACCGCTTCATGTGATTTTGATACTGTATTTGTATTGATGCAGTCTAGGACTGCATTGGTTTTTTTGGTAGCTGCAGCACACTGTTGGCTCATACTTAAGTGGTTGTCTACTAGGAATCCCAGATCCCTTTCAGAATTCTATACCAAAATCACCAATTTCAACTTCCATATTATAATTCAGGCTGATATAATGCACTTTGTCATTTAAATGTTCATTCTCCAGAATTATCTCCCCTCCCCACCCCCAATGCTCTTTCACACATACAGGTAGGAGAAAAGAATCTTTAGGAGATAATTTGTTTTTTTTTTCCTTGGGAGAAAATTAAACATATTAATAAAAAGAATAATATTGTAGTCTTACAAAATTTAGCTTATCAAAATACAAGACTCCAATTGAGCCAAATATCTGAATCAAGTCATCCTGGGCAGATACTGGAACACATTCAATGAAGGGGTACCTACCAACTCTCTCTCTAGAAAGAATTTTCCCTCCTCCTAATATTCAATGTATCAATCACGAGACTGATTTCTAGTTCTGCCCTGAGCATGAAATTCAGCTGGATATATTTGGGCCAGTCAGTCTTTCTCAGCCCTAAGAAGAATGCAGTCGCAAACCACTTCTGAAATGTTGCCAAGTAAACTCCTGGGATTAATTCAGGTACTTGTAAAGAGTCAACCATAACTTGAAGGAACAACAACAAAAAGAATAATCTGCAGTCTAACATGCAGATAGTACTTGGAATACAGGACAGGCAAATGCAGCTGTTAGTCAACAACCTCTCAGCCCAAACCACCTCAGGGGTCATTGCTGTTTTGGGAAAAATAGGAGAAGAAAGGGATATTAGGTATGTTCGGTGCCTTGAGTCATTTATTGAAAAAGGGATAAAAAAATGAATAAATAAATAAAGTATCAGATTCTGCCTTTCTGTAGTTCTAATTGTTCACTTCATATTGCATACGCTGAAATGAGAAAGAACAAATCTTGATTTTCTATTGAAAAGCTTTCATATATTTGAGTAGGATCATGTCCCACCTCGCTTGTATTTTTCATGGCTAAATATTTCAGCTCCTTCAGATTTTTTTTCATAGCATTTACTTTCTAATCCTCAGAGTATTCTTGTGGCTTTTTTTTCTGAATATAGTTCACATTTCCTCAATCTTTCTTAGGGTATGATGTCTGGAACAAACACAGCACTTGAGATGATGCCTGATCAAAGAAAATGTTCACTTCCCATATTTTTAAAGTTATACTTAATCACTTGCCTTTTTTGCCAATATATCCTACCACTGGCTCACACTCATTTTGAATCAATTGCTTAATATTCCATAATATATTGCACAAATAATATTTCCAAGCCAGATATCCCCCAATCTATACCTGTAGTTTGGACTTCAGTTGTCTAAATAAAGAACTCTGCACTTACATTTGCTCTATTACTTTAAGCTCACTCTTATAATTATCAAACTGTTTTGAATTTGATTCCACTTTTCTATATTAACCATCCTATCTAATTGTGCACCACCTTAAAAATGATAACCATTCTTTCTATCTCTTAATCCAAGTCATTCGTGTTTGTGCGTGTTTATAGAGGAAAAAAAATAGAGTACAAAATGCTGGTCCTATGTCCTCACAAATGGCACCATTCTCCAATCAGATGAAACTAATTGATGGGGCATTTCTTTGAATATGAGAGTACTAGGACTTGGCTTTTCTTCTCTTCTTTCTCAAGTTTGTACTCAGTAGAAGACACCAACATAATCAAAGGGGCACTCTGCATATGACAGGTGTGCCATCTATGACAAGACCAAAATCCTTTGAAGCACTTTATTATATGAAACTGTACTCTTTTCTTATTTAAAGTTAAATATAGCTTTAGGCTTTTGTGGATTTCCCCTTAACATAACCCCTCTTTCTGCTTCTTGGGTTTGGTACTAAGTGGCAGCTGTTGGCCCACTCTGCCCCGCTCTGGGAAATTCATATTTTCCATATATTGTAACTTGGTTCTGGTTTGATAAATGTTTTATCATCACTAATTCATTATATCAGTCTTTATGGCAAGATTTCGTATTACTATTCATGCCTTGTATCAATCTGTTGTAAGATCAAAATATTTGAAATCACATCAAAACTCATGAGCCAGATCGTACTCTTCCAAACAGCCCTGCTGCCAGAAAGTAATCTGAACGCTTGCATCTAGCAAGTTAGAAGGCAGAGAAGTGCAGCATTAATAGCTTGAGAAGAAAAGGCCTCCGGATATGGTCTTCTAATTGAAACATCCTTGCACAGTCTAGCAGTCCAGGACAGAAGTGGGTTGCTGCCAGTTTGGCCCAGTTCAGTTGAACCTGTAGTGGGATTCAGGCCTGGGTCGCAGTACCAACAGCAACCCAGGCCTGCCACCATCACCCCCGAACCGGTTTCCTTGCTGCTGCTTGGGCGCTGCCATTTTGGATTTTAGTGACTGCACGTGCACAGTTCACTGTAAATTGTTCTGCGCATGCACGAACAATTGTTCTGCAGTTGCAATTGCAACTGTAAACTGTTCTGCACATGCGCAAAGAACAATTTACATTGAATAGTGCATGCTTATGCGTGTGGGTTGCGAACTGGCAGTAATGCCAGCAGCAACCCACCCTTGGTCCAGGGGTTCTCCTGTTCCAGCTCTCAGAATAGGAACAGCCACTTTCTGGAATGGGTTGACAGACAGGATACTGTGATCATACGTGAAAAAGCTCTTATTTTAGTGGATTATTTTGAAGAATACGGAAGAGCAGACACATTATTTCTATTTCTTTTTCTTTATTTACAATTGATAAATTAAATATAAGAATGTGAGGCCTTTTTTACTCCATTTGTCCAACTATGGGTCTGGGTGGTGTGTGATAAATCAGTAACAAGAAGACTAAAACGACCCAGATGACTCAAAAGAACGCAAAGTTCATTTTCCCGTGACTACATTCTGATTTCAGATAGTATTACAGGCAATGTACTAGAAGTCATTTTCCATCATCAACCCTTTCTCTCTAAGTTTGTGCACAGAAAAATGGTAAATGTGCAACACTATTCAGTTATGCCCCCTTCTCCTCTAAAAAAAAGCCTTTCACTAACATGATGCTCCTCCTCTATGGAAAATGCAGTTATTACAGTTGACCATCAGCAGGTTCCTCGCATTGCCTAACAGTAGAGAGCAGGAAGAAAATAGATGGGGAAGTAGCACAGATAAATTGATGAAAGTCTGGGAAACCAGCTCTTCAATTATTATTTACAAGGATGATTTAGGAGCGTAGAAATTGCTGGTGATAGCAAATCATACTGTACAGCCCCAAAAGTCATAATTTATAGCAGTTTCCTTATCTAATAGCAGTTCTGGCAATTTCGTTT